TTTTTTTTTTTTTTTTTGTCTTCCTCTTTTTTTCCTTTCTTTCTACCATTTTTTTCTTCCTTTCCTGTTGACTTTTTCTCTTTCTTTCTTTCTTTTCTCCTCCTCCTTTTCTTTTTCTCCTTTTCTTTCCTCTTTTCTCTTCCTTTCCTCTCTCCTTTTTTTTTCCTTCTCTGCGGTCTAAAGTTTCATATTTGAATTTTTGCCATTATTCGCCACTTTTGCATTCTTTTCTCCAATTTCATCAAACATAAATTTTTATCTACGAAACACAATATAACATAAATTAGGTATAATTTAATTCAAAAGATAATAAAATATCATAATTTAGGGTCACGTACACTTATCACATCCCAAATTTGAATCTTTATTTGTCCTCAAACAAAATTAAAACCTAACAAACATATAAAACAATCAATGTTAATTACCTAATTTGTGGCTAGTCAATCTAGTAAAGTAACAACATTTAACTAGTTAACCTGATTTTTTATTTCGAGATTGAATTCATAATAATAAATCTATGCACAATTTCAAAATCATAATACAAAAATTAAAATCCACATTTCCAATGTAAAATCGACGTATGTGAAGAATTAAACATAGTATTATGAATTCATAAGTTATTTCAATTCCCAACGCTCGATAGTCAAATATGTTCTTTCATCACTTGTTAGATTCACACATCCCAAAACTTATTTTTTTCATTATTTTCCAGTGTGTGAATTAATGTTGGATTTTTTTAACTATTCTCATCTCTCTAGTTTGTCAAAATTTTACCAATTGCAGTTCAATATTTCAATAAACAAAGATTCTCCATTAAAATTGATTGCTTCAATATCTAGAACTTAACTAAACTAACAATCTCTTGTCAAAAGTCGATTTCTCTTAAACAAGTGTTAATTTCAATAAACAAAGATTCTCCATTAAATTTGATTGCTTCAATATCTAGAACTTAACTAAACTAACAATCTCTTGTCAAAAGTCGATTTCTCTTAAACAAGTGTTTGAGACTCGCTTCTTCTGTTTCATGCACCTACTTTTTCTGATTTTCTTTTCATGAGTAATTTTTTCTGTATTTGAAGCATTCTCTCCCTTAAATTTTCTAAATGACCCATGTAACAATATTTCGACCGACGAAAAACATTGTGCATAATACAACATATTTCAGAATGGTAAAACGTTACATGACATTAGGCCCATGTTTGATAGCCATTATTTTCAAGCTTCTTCATTTTAGTTTAGATTTCAATGCTTTTGATATGTTCAAAATTATGTCAATTAGATTACCATCCATTTGAAATAATTTCTACTTCAGTTCTACATGATTTAATGAGATTATCATGCTTTTGCTACGTTTTCTTCAATTTTCATTTGTACTGCAACTATCGATTTCTAATATCATATGGGGAGTATATAGTGTTATGTAATCACATGATTCTTCACTTTCACTACGTTATTAGATTATCAATTTTCGATGTCACGAGGAAAGGTGTGAATCAATGTACAGATTTGAATGCACAACACACTCGTTTGTAGTGTTCAATGTAGATTCCATGGGGTGTAGAAGGCAACATCTCAACCACACCGACATGTAATGCATAGGCGGTTATGCGTGCATCCCTACACTTAAGCTCCAAATAGAAATGCAAAGAGCTATCATTTCAACCTTGAAACTCTCTTGTTCATTACAAAGATGTTCAAATGATCCCTTTCTGTATTACTAAATCAAGGATGAATTCAGTATATATATAAATATTTAATAATCCATGACATCATGCATATGTATATGTCGGCTTACATAAAGTCATATATTTTTAGCTAACTGAAATTGATACATGCACGTGTGGTGATAAGTTTTTCGACAAAGCACATACTGAACCATGCAATAATTGAGAACTAAAATGCATTTCATACGACACAAAAATCATTTCCATGAAATACGTAATTCGTCATTTTTTATTCCATTTTCCAGAATATCCAGACATGGAGTCATATTACGAAATTAATTTGTGATTAATGTTTTAAAAATCGTCTCGGAAAAGAATAAGGGTTAAAGGTCGAAGGGTCGAATTTCGGGTGCCAAAATTAGGTAAATAAATACACTCATAAATAATAAAATATTATAACAAAAATAAATTTTTTAAAACTTCAATACTACTAATTCAAAATAAATATAAGCCCATATTTTTCAATTAGATTTAATCATTTATATGTTCAAAATTGAAATTATTTGTGCTTTGGGGAGATGATTTAAATCCATATGAATGTAGAGTTGAATTAAATAATTAAACATTCTAGCCATAGGCCATGTAGCTTCCATAGCAATCCCACATCCGATGCCAAAGGAAATGTGCATGAGGATTATCTTTTAAAACGACACCTATAGCTTTATTCCCACATTGAGCACAAAAAGCACAAGGATTCTCCAAAGTAGCAACATGTTGAAGGCAAGTGCATTGGACTTGACATTGCAATTAAGCCCATTTAGCAAAATTGAAATCAATTTTTTGAAAAATAAAAAAAGACACCGATATAAGTGATAAAAATCATGACCGATTCTCCGGTTTGCAGTTTACAGGCCAATTCATTAGTTTATTGACCAGTTTTTATTTGTACGGTTAATATATAGTTATCGGACCGAATTTGAGGACGGTTCTCAGTTTCTCCGGTTGAATCGGCTGGTCCGATTTTAATTACATTGTTTATGATGATCAATGTTTGAAATGGGCTTCATAATTGGAAATTTTTCGAGAATCACATCTTGGATTATAGGTGATACATTAATCAATATTTCATTAATATACATAATCAAATGACAAATTGAAAAAATTTAGATCGAGTTACATCTAATTGAAACACGTAATCAGTTGCCGAACATTACCTTCAAATTTCAGATATAGAAGCTTGAAAACTTGTTCCAGAGGTGACTGAGTTCTTGACTACATGACAAATTTAAAAAATTAAGCATGAATTACATATAATCTAAACACATAATCAGTTGCTAGACATTACCTTGAGATTTCAAATCTAAAATCATGAAAAACTGTTCCAGAGGTGCGAGTTTTGGAATGTAAAGGAAATGATGTGCAGGTTGATTATTCAATAGATGACGCCCATCATCAGTATTTAATTTCTTTTTTGATTTTAGGAAATGACATTAATGGAGAAGTGTAAATATACTTCATATGGGAATAATGCTACTTGCAGTCGCTCACTGCAGCAGTCGTCATATGTGGCACACACATGTCAAATGTAATGCATCAAATAACTACATGTCATGCGTGTGTCACATAGGACGACTGCTGCAGTGAGCGACTGCAAGTAGCATTACTCTTCATATGATAACCAATATTTTTAGTTTTACTAATGTGACATAGTAAATTATGATTTTTTTTTTTTTTTGTAATAACGCAAATATGAATTTTTTCATTTTTTTAAAGTTATGAAAATGGGTTGGGCATTGTTAGGCTAATTTTGTTTGTTTATTTTTCAACTAAGTCCAGATTTAGTCCCCATTAAATTAAAATTTTATTCTCCCTCTTTTCTTATCAATAACACATTTTTTAATAAAATAATATTGTACATAATTCTAAAAATTTCTTCTTTCTAATTTCATATATTTCAAATTATTATTATTTTCCTTGTTGGAATGTCAAATAATGGAGTTTGAGAAATATGAGTAATGCTACACTTACACACTTGATTTTTAAAATTGCGGATTCCACCCTCTATCTGAGAGGGATGTGAATGTGAATCAAAGGGTGTATGTTTAAAATTGCGGGTCTCACTTTCTATGTGAGAGAGATGTGAAAGTGAATGTGAATCAAAGTGCGTGCGTTTAGCATTTTTGAAGAAATATGACTTATTTATTGAAGTTCAACGAAACACGTTTTTTTCTCTTGTACTTGGCACCTGCCCACAGGCCTATGTAACACCGCCTAATTATCTTTCTCGCTCTATTCTTTTCATTTTCTCCATATATATGTATACACAGAAGTGCACGTAGAGATATAACCCTACCAGAAGAAAAGAAGAGAAGAAAAGGCAAAGAGATCTCAGAAAAAAAGTTGAAAAAATAGTAAGAAAAAGGAATATAAAAAGGGAAGAATTTGTCACCGCACACCACAGCAACTGCTTCGGATCTTAATATTTCCACAGAATTAGGGTTTTCTGTTTTGTAGCGCTTTTACAATTTTTGTAATTAAATAGATTTTCTCTATAAGGAATTACTGTCGATTCAGTTAAATTTTCGCGCGATTTGATTAAAATTGACGATTGATTCATCTGTAAAGGTTTTGTGTGAACTTAGGGTTTGTGATTGCGTTCTCTTCCAGCTGAATCGATAAAGATTCGGTTTTTTAGCTTTTGGGAATTAGAAGTTTTCGTTAATACTTGTTTCTAGAGCGATATGGTAAAAATTTGGGGATCGAAGGAAAGTTTGATCGCCGATTAGTCGGCGAGTGGGTTCATCGGTCTTGAAGGGTTTTTGTATGGAAACTCGGAGTCGGAAGCGGGCGGAGGCAAACACCTCAGCAGCGCCTTCTTCTTCTTCCTCTGGTCCGACCACTCGTGCCACCAAGCGTGCTCGTCTTTCTGCCTCTAACGCCGCCACAGCCTCATCCTCCACGAACTCATCTATATCCACTCGTTCTCGTGCCGTGACTCGATCAAAAGACTCGGTAGTTTCATCCACTCTAATGGACCCAACCCCCGAAGCCTCTGCTGTCTCTGCTCCAACAACCCGTGGTCGCCGTGGTAAAAACCCTCGTAATCAAAATTCTGACGACAAAGATAACGCCAATTCGAATAAAGGTAAGGAGAAAGAGCATGAAAGCAGGGTTAGGGATAGAGAGAGAGAACTTGAAAGGAGTTCTGGGCTGAACATTGATTCCCATGGTGGTGACGATGATGATAATGACAGCGAGGGAGGTGCCGGGATTTTCCACCAGAATTTGACTTCAGCAAGCAGTGCCCTTCAGGGGCTTTTGAGAAAACTGGGTGCCGGATTAGATGATCTGCTCCCTAGCTCTGCAATGGGGTCCGCCTCATCCTCTCATCAGAGTGGACGACTGAAGAAGATATTGTCAGGTTTGAGGGCAGATGGCGAAGAAGGGAAGCAAGTGGAAGCTTTAACGCAGTTATGTGACATGCTTTCCATAGGGACTGAGGACTCTTTGAGTTCTTTCTCAGTGGACTCTTTTGCTCCGGTGCTTGTTGGGTTGCTTAATCACGAAAGTAATCCTGATATAATGCTTCTCGCAGCAAGGGCACTGACTCATTTGGTCGACGTGCTGCCCTCTTCTTGTGCTGCCGTGGTGCATTATGGTGCAGTAACATGCTTTGTTGCTCGACTGCTTACTATTGAGTATATGGACTTGGCTGAACAGGTGAAAATTTATCGTTTTGGTACTTTGTAGAATTGCGAGCACTGGGTAGTTTTGGATGTAATTAGCAATTATTGGATAAGATTTACTACGTCTATGGTTGTGATTAGTAATTTTATTCCTAACCACATGCTCACACTTTTAGCTAGGGGAAAATTTGGTGATTTAAATGTTGAATCCTAAAATTGGTTGTATTGCAACAGTCACTGCAAGCTCTGAAAAAGATCTCTCAGGAGCATCCAACTGCTTGCTTAAGAGCGGGTGCGCTTATGGCTGTGCTTTCATATCTTGACTTCTTCTCTACTGGAGTTCAGGTGAGTTATTGGGGAAAATTCCAGTAGTTAAGTTGATATTGGTAGTATTATTCACTGTTTTTTCCACCATTAAACGGTAGCAATTTTCTTCTGTAAGTCAAATGAATATGACTCTCTCTCTTACTATTCTGTTAGAGAGTGGCATTATCGACTGCTGCAAACATGTGCAAAAAATTACCTTCAGATGCATCTGACTTTGTGATGGAAGCTGTTCCGTTGTTGACTAATCTTCTTCAATATCATGATGCAAAGGTCAGATAATATTTCTACAGTTTTAAAATGACGAGGAAACTATTAAGATCTATTAATTGCTACTTTTTTTTTTCTTTTTCTCTCGCTTCTCTTTGCTTTACCAGCTCGTGCTTGATTTCATATATAGGTTTTAGAACACGCGTCTATTTGCTTGACCCGGATTGCTGAGGCATTTGCGACACTGCCAGAGAAGCTTGATGAACTCTGCAATCATGGACTCGTTACCCAAGCTGCAGCCTTAATTTCCACCAGCAATTCTGGAGGGGGTCAAGCTTCACTCAGCACTTCTACATACACGGTGAGTTCAAAGATCAGTTCTCATTTACTGCCTTTTATGGTAAGACTTTATAACCTATTAAGCGTACAGGGCTTGATTCGGCTTCTATGCACTTGTGCGAGTGGTTCTCCTTTAGGGGCAAAGTCTCTACTACTCCTTGGGATCAGTGGCATTCTTAAAGATATCCTATCAGGGTCTGGCCTTGTGTCCAGCATGTCCGTTTCACCTGCCTTGAGTAGACCACCAGAGCAGGTATGTGCTATATCTTCACTCATGTTTCACAGTTTGGCTTCAGTTTTCCCAGGTTCATTTGTCCTTAAATCAGTCTAAAAACTGTACTTTGTCTCTAGGTTAGTTTCCTTTCTAATCAATTTTTTTCTAGTATAGATCTGCTTATAATTCATTTCAATCCATTAGTAGTGTGATCTTCGTGAAAATAATCTTCTACTTGTTGAAAAATTCCTAAATAATGTCACAGTGTCTAATTTTAGCCTTTTCTTGACCTCAATAAGCTAATGTGTTGCCCGATATAACAGATTTTTGAGATTGTGAATCTGGCAAATGAGCTTCTTCCCCCACTGCCTCAAGGAGCAATATCTCTTCCAGTCAGCAGCAATCTGTTTGTTAAAGGTTCTTTTTCTAAGAAGGGTCCTGTAGGCGGTTCCACCAAACAGGAAGATTTGAAAGGAAACACGCAAGAGATTTCGGCTCGTGAGAAATTGATGAATGATCAGCCTGAACTGCTGCAACAGTTCGGAATGGATCTCCTTCCTGTTCTAATCCAGGTTGGTTTTTGTAGGAAATAGTTTACCAGTGTTTTACTGCGCTATATTCTATAAACAATTTGCCATATGTTTGTTATGCAGATTTATGGCTCTAGCGTAAATGGCCCTGTTCGGCACAAGTGTCTTTCAGTTATTGGAAAACTTATGTACTTCAGCACTGCTGAAATGATTCAATCTCTGATAAGTGTCACAAACATATCTAGGTATATGTTTCCTCTAGACTTAAATTTGCAGTTTTTCCTTTACTGATTAGCAAGATAGAGATCCTTATCTTTTGATTTTATTTTTTTTTCAGTTTTTTAGCTGGGGTGCTAGCTTGGAAAGATCCTCAAGTTCTTGTACCTGCTCTTCAAATAGCAGAAATCTTAATGGAGAAACTTCCTGGTATTTTCTCGAAGATGTTTGTAAGGGAAGGTGTTGTTCATGCTGTGGATTCTTTGATAATAGCTGGATCTACAAGTACTGCTTCTATGCAGCCATCATCAGGTGAAAAGGATAATGATTCTATTCCTGGATCATCTCGTTCTAGGCGGTATCGACGACGTGGTAGTAATTCGAGTTCAGATGTAAATCCTGCTGAAGACACTAAAAGTTCAGCTCCAAATACAATTGAAATTCCAACTGTCAATTCTAGTCTTCGGGCAACAGTCAGTTCACGTGCAAAAGATTTCAAAGATAAATACTTTCCATCAGATCTCGAGGCCCATGAAACTGGGGTTACAGATGATCTCCTACGCCTAAAGAATCTTTGCTCGAAGTTGAATGCCGGTATTGATGATAGAAAAACTAAATCAAAGGGGAAGTCAAAAGCTACTGGCTCTCAGCTTTCTGATTATTCTTCTAGTAAGGAGGTATACTTGGTTGAGGTGATAGCTGAGATACTGCAAGAGCTTAGCAGAGGCGACGGTGTATCGACTTTTGAGTTTATCGGTAGTGGAGCCATTGCCTCTTTGCTCAACTACATTACCTGTGGATATTTCTCCAAGGACAAATCTTCTGAAGTCAATTTGCCTAAGCTTCGACAACATGCCATCAGAAGGTGCAAATCTTTTGTTGCTATTGCCCTTCCTTCAGGTGTTGATGAAAAGAATGAAGTTCCCATGAATGTTTTAGTTCGAAAACTTCAAGAAGCTCTATCCTCCTTAGAGCGATTCCCTGTCGTGCTGAGCCATACAT